TGTTTAATTTTTCATAAATACAGAAGTATCTGTCGTGGCTAATTGGATAAACATTTTCCTTACGATCTTCCTCACGACAGTTAGTTCGGGCCTCGATTATGGACTTTACTGTTTTCATCAGAAATTGCTTTAGATATTCAAGACGGTGTTTAGGCATTATTTTAGGGCATTTTTAATTTTTTCTTTTCTTAGAATAATTTTTACTTGCATTTCGTCAAATAATAACTTTTTCCGGAGGATTTTCATTCTGACCTCAGTCTATGGTTTTCTTGATTTGTGAAAGCTGACTGTCACCTTGTTTTATTCTCGCCTTCGGATGAACGGTGCAATAGCACCATATTTTATAACTGGCGTTAGAAGCTTTCAAGGTGACAGTTTAACCAGTTTACTGTGGCGCTCTCTACTAAAAGTGCGCACCGTTTTGTGTCGCCAGAATCGAGCCATGACGAGTATATTCGTCAATCGCAGAGTAAGATGCACTGGTAAGATATTGGATGAAAAAGATGGCTTTACTTTATAAAAATGAAAATTTTATTACTAATATTTACTTATTTGGTTAATATAAGCATAAATTTACATATTAAACTAAAAACGCAATAAATTAAATTAAATATTATACATATAAAAGTAAGAATTTAAATTACTGCTGTGGAGTGATATTCAGCGAAACAGAGTACTATACACAATAGTACTCTGTTTTGAAAATCGAACACCAGTAACGCGATTCCTTCCTGATCTTACGTTTGTAGCAATGCGAACACCTTCGCGTAGGGTTGTTTTTTTTCCCTATATTCCGGGTATATAATCCGGAACATGATTCCCGCCTAATTGGCTTATATTAGGTCTAAATGGCCGAGTTTGTGTCGATTGATTTCTGACAATTGGATACGGCGCAAAAGTGTCTTCGATAAATTTGAGAAAAAAGTTGATGTGCGATAATGTTCCATTTTTTTTTATATAATATGAATGCATTCAGACACATAATGTCTAAGAAATGGAGAAACGTTTTGAGTCGTTTTTTGCTGTGGAGTACGTTATGATAATTCCGTCGCTCATATCCACTCCACCCATTTTTTTATTATAATCAATTACTAGCTCCGTTTTTTTTTTTTTATTATTTTTCTTTTCTCTGTTTCTATTACATTGTCATTATGTACAGTACTTACTAAATAAACCTCCCTCTTATCTTTCCATTTCATTAACATAATATACGCATGACGAGTATATTCGCAAAATCGTGTCGCTTCTCCATAACGAGTATACTCGTCAATCACAGTTAACTGGTTAATCTTGTGATTAAAACTCCTACTAGTTGCATGCCAGTAGCAAAGTGATAGTTTGTAATCCGTGGGGATGATGAGTATAAGTACGAGCCAGTTAATCCAGAATCCAATCGGATAGTGTAGACCGTCTGATGAATTTTAGATTTTCTTTGTTCTTCAACTCTGTTAGTGAATTCCTGATAGCAGACAGCGAAGAAAGACTTCTTATTCAAATACTCGCAACTAATGAAAATGAATGCATAGAGGAATTTATTCAAAATAGTACGGGTTCTTCTTCGAATATGCATATTTTTAAAATTTTGGACAAGTATATTGCAAAACTAGAAAATGCGATAAACACTGTCGAGAATACAACCCAAAAGAAGCCAGTAATGTGAATAAGACCATATTTAATGATCATCTGGATTGGAATACTGTAACCAGAGGTAATCATGAAATAAGTGACTTCAGAACCTTGCTTCGAAATCCAATACACAATTAAGCAATAAAATCTCAGCTTTAAACAAATGTGATGGATAATTAAAAGAGTATCTGGAGAATTCTTCCACAGGCAGAAAGAAAAATAAAACACGTGCTTAGAAATCTTCGCAAAAGGAGTTTGAAGTTTCTCATTTGATTGAATTTAAAACAGAGCAGGAAATTGGCACCCAGACGGAACCAAATAAACAAGCACCTGCATAAAATTCTGACTGCTTAAGCCCTTTTACAAGTAATGGCACCCGTACAAAACTTTCATACAAATGAATGCAAAACCCTTCGAAAAGAAGATACACCAAGAGACACTGAGGATGAATCCTAAGCTGGACAACATTAATGAATTCCACTACCCTAGATATTCGTAAAAAAATTCTGGTGATTGTCGTCAGGGGCTGCAAAGCTGGACTCAACTTATTGTCTTATTTGAGAAGAATCATATTGTTGATTGCAAAAGAAAATTGAAAAACTGAGAATGAGTATGAAATAAAAGTCTTCACCGCGGAGGTGCATAGACAGGTTACCAAGTTCCTGGATACACAGAATATTGGATATCGTACTTATTTTCTCCCAAAGAACAAGAACATTAGTCATTCGCAGCCTTTCTGTAAATACTCCAGTGATGAATGTACAAGATAAACTTCCTGCAGTATTTAATGTCAAGAGTCTGTTAGTTTTCCAAAATAAAAAATGGCAAGTTAACATCTCTTTCTTCTTATTCACAATTAAGAAATACGATAAATCACTTCTGATCTATAATCTCTGATAACTAATGCATTTGAGAATCAAAGTGGAATCATACCGCAGAAAGATGAGGCCCCCCAAAGTAAGTAATGTTACCAGGGCCAGAGCAGTAATGTTACAATACCTTTCGTCACGCTCAGCTTGTGAACATCCTATCCGCTGCGTTCATTGCGACAAGGATCGTGAATCCAGAGACTGCACTAAACATAAAAGCAAAGGTACCCAAATGTGGGAACTGTGGAGGCCCCCCACACAGCTAGTTTACAGATGTTGTCCCTCCCCAAAATGCAAGTTGGGCAAAACTATTAGCTTGTCATCTGATGGACACCCTGAAAGACTCATCCCGAGCAAGATGTACATGGAAGCTGACAAATCCTTGAATTCTAAACTCTCAGGACAAATAAATGAGGCAAAGAAGACAGAAGCTATGTCTACTGCTCTCGTCATGGTCATTGAATTAAAACTAATAATTTTAACCTGAAGAACAGCTATGAGCAGAACAACATGACAAGAGACTCTTCAAGTACTCTCCAATTAGAATTTTTGTGTGAAATGCACAATATTCTTTATATTAAAAAAATAAAGCCACTTCCTGCTGGATAATGCAATTGACTTTTTCATTATTATATTATTTCAGAAGCCCCAGATAAACATTCTTTCCCTCTGTATTTTATGCTATTATGTTAAGTTTATTATTAGCTAAGTTTTAGGAATTATTTTCTACATTTGTTCATGTGTCTCTTTAAGCACAAGTTCTTATGTAAATATTCTCATCAAGTTTCTTCGCATTTATCCTGCAATACTGTATTTAGTAATCTTTGTTCTACTAGCAACATAACATCTACAGTGCATTATGAAATTTATGTTCTTTTGTACATTCAAAACTCTGGCTTTACGAACAATTTTCCTGTGGGTGTTTGCATAGACAATGTGCTTTCCCTTCTTTCACCAGTTGTCAGTACCCCTTTTTTTATAGAACCCACTGCTCAGGACTCTACAGTGTCAATAAATTTAATTAGAATAGAAAATTTCAACAAAGGCAATCTAGCAAATAATGTATCCAAGTCCTAGAGTACCTCATGAAGGCATACCTTCCTGTAAGCCAGCAGCCATGTGAACCTTGAACTAGATATAATAAACAGGTTATCTTGTATGTACAGAAGGAAAATAGTACATACTTTCAAATGTCTAGCTAGATGTTTGTTGGAAAGCAGTGCATTAAATTTCTGCATTTGTTCTGAGTTTTTATTTTGCACAGCGTTGTTTTGTATTCTGTTGTTAAAAGATTTGATACAGTACTGAGGGAAAAAGTATTTTTAATAGACCTTCCTTTAAGAAATTTAGTAACTTCAGCTGAATGCAGTATAGAAATGCTTTTTAAACTGCGTGTAGTATGTTAGGTTTAGAATGTGCTTGCAGTACAGAACCCAAATTGACCAAATCGAAGACCAACGAATACTGATGATTATCTTGGGTTAAGATCTCAGCAAAAGGACTAGCTGGAAAGGATTATTCCAATATGTTACTATAATACAATTTCATAACCCTTAAAAATTCCTGGTGGAAGCACCCCCTCCTAAGGCAGATAGTCCTCATGTACTTTTCTATGATAAATTAACCGTACAGTGTAGTTCTCATTTCCAGCGTTGAATATGATCGCCATCATCCATGATCTAATTCTTTGAAAGCATGCTGCATTATTTCATGCCCCCCTTTTTTGTTTTTGTTTTGTAATATTGACCCTAAGCTCTTCTGAAAAATGCGACTCTGAGATACAGGCCCTTGTTTTGACACAAACCCAGGAAGAATACTCTGCTAGGATAAAAAAATTGAAACAGCAACTATTCAAGATAGATCATCATCTCTTTTCAATAGAAATTGATAGTTCACCAAGTTAACTACATGTTGAAATTATAGATCTCTGGTGTGATACTGGATTTCGAGAAAAAATCTACAAATTTTACAGTACTGTTAGTTGGACAAACTAAAGGATTTTATTCAAGAACTTTTTGGTTACTTATGGATCAATCTATGTGTATATGAACAAGCATTTTCTATCATGAATCCCATTAAAAACATTTTACAAGAAAGCATGATCGATGATCATTTACAAGCATTAAAAAATCACTGCTATAAAATTAATATCTAAAATTACAAAAGTGATGAAAAATGTAAAACATCATCATTCTTTTCTCATTAAGTTGTGGGTAATTAGAAATTTATTTATTTTTTATCTCAGAATTCATTTTCCTTGATACTAACAATATAAAAATACTATTATATTTTTGGCTCACCATTTATTTTTTTATTTCTAATATGGCCCTTTGGAAAAAAGGTTTGTTAGGCCTATTCTAAATTTTTATTTTTCTACCTGAATTCAGAAACTTATTTTTCTGACTTCAGAAACTCATTAAATTATAAATGTCTGCTTTCATTATCAAACCTTTATATAATTAGATAAGTTTCTAATTCTAAAACCATATTTGTTTCTTTTTGTAGGATCTATTTATGATCTCACTGGGAGCTATGACCTGCCATTCTTTATAGCAGGTGTACTCCTCATCATCTCTGCAATAGTTAGTTTCATGGTTCCTGTTGTAGCTAGAATCTCAAAGAATGAAGAGCCACAAGCTAACCCAGAGGTAGTCAGAGATGAAAATCAAGATGTCATGAGTGATGACCAAGAAAGTGTGGTGTAATTTAATTTCCATTAAAACTCCAGTGGAAAAAAGATGCTTAAGACTGAAAAATGTGGGCCTTGTAGCTGTGCTGGATATCAGCCAGTTAGAAAAAGCTTAACAAAGTATGAAGGCACTATTCCTTTGTTTAAAGTATACTGATGAATCTCATACATTGATATTTTGTGGAAAACTTTTCATACAATTTGATACAGAAGTGTGTAAAAATGAAGAGTGTTTGTGAAAATGAATGCATGCATGGAAAGGCCACTTTATAGTGTGTTTACAAGAGAGTATATGACAAGCTGCGAAATCGCACACTTTTTTTTTCCTTTGAGCTTGGGTTTCAATTTCCAAACTACATCTTTTACAATATGATATAAAAATGGACAAAGAATATATATAACATGAAGCATACCTTGCAGCTAAGAGTCTGTGATATGAATGCACATTCCCACATGGGCATGCTGAAGACTACTTTGAGAAAAGGAGCGTAAACTTTTAAAAGACAATCACTCTCCTGCAAGCTACAATGTATGCAAAAGAATGCTAATAAAGTGGAAATCTAAAGAAACCACCTAACCTTTGTAAATTAAATATTTCCTTATAAAACCTGAAAGCAATATCATGCCAAATGCAGTTTGTCAACTTATAATGATTTTTAAAGTTCTCTCTAATTTATTTCCCGGATAGAAAAATTGAATGCCTTTTATTTTATTATAGAAATAAATAACAGTTAATCTCAAAGAAAAATACCAAAAGCAGTTTGCAAAAAAATGTAATATGAAATCAATATATAATATTTTTTTCATTATCTTAGACAATATGATTTCTATCATTCATTCATTCATTGTGTTCATTAAAATAGTGAACATATACATGTTATGTATAACAGGAACATTTGTTCTATATCATCATAAGTTTCTGCAGTGGAGTTTTGTGACAGGGCCTGGGGAAATCTTAAAAAATTAAGAAACATTTTTATTATGAAGTGTCTTGTGTACAATAACACATTTCCATTATTAAAGAGCAAAAGAAAATTATATCTTATCATTTGCAGTATACAAAATATATGTATATTTGCATTATTAAAAACTATAAAACTGTGTTAGTATGTTTCAATCCAAAGAAAAAGCAAATACCCTTATACCAGTGTCTATTAGTCCTCAGTATAAAATACTCTCAGCATAAGGTATCATTTCATCATTCTTTTATAATTGGACTTTTCTTAAATATTCTATTCTTACTTTTCTTAAGGGAAAAAAAGCTGTTCTGTGTCTAAAATTGAAAAAAAAAAAAAAAAAAAAAAAAAAAAAAAATTGTGTGTGCAAGTACAAAAGTAACAAATTAAGTCACCCCCCCCAAATGAAAATTCTAAAACACAGTATTTTAACTGCATATTATTTATTCATTAACTATGGATTAGTTAATATATATATTTTTTACTCAAAACGAAATATGAAATTATAAGGTTAATACAAAAGTCCAAGCTTAATTAGCCCACTATTAAATAAAAATTCTTTAATTTATATATATGAAACCTAAAAATCTATGCATGTAACTCTGACAGTAAATAAAAAGTTTATGACTTTTAGACAATATTGTATGCTGAATAGTAGATTCTCAACTACTAAAAATATTTATTATGTATAAAATTCAAAACAAACATCTTCAGCATGGGAAAAAAATTTCCATTTTCAAATAATTAAGTAGACCAAATTATAGTTTCAAAAAGCAAAAAATCTTGAAACTGTAAATAAATAATAACACTAAACTGAAGTAATAAAGAGAATTTAGGTGACATCATTTAATTGCATCATATTGTAGTCTAACATTAACTTTGTGACTTATTTGAATTTAGGTTATCATTCATTATTATTTTAATATTTTATTACGATCATTTTAATATTTTATTCATAGTTCATTAACTTTGCTTTTAAACATTTATACTTTTTCAGAATCCTCTATGAACAATATACTGCATTTAAGTTATCTCTCATGCATAAAATTAGATCAGTAAAGGGTAACTTATTTAATCAAAATTGGGTTATAATATGTTTAATAATAACTTATTTCTTTTAGACCATTTCTTTATTATGCAACTATAAAAATCAACTTCAGGTTCCTTTTCCCAAACATTTTTAAGGACAACATTATTTCTCTTTAAATACAAAATTATCAAATTATTCCAAAGACTTCACTTCTGAATTATTCCATTCACCTTCCAAAGACTTCTGTGTTTGAGATCTAGCTGGAGCCTTCTGAAATATGCTTCTCTATTGTTTCGCCTTTTGAATGAAAATTTTTATTATAGCTGTGTATTTAATAATTTCCTAGTAAGCTATAAAATATATTTCTCAAGAAAATGTTTAAAGCATATTGTAGAAATCTCTTCAAAATTTTCATTATGTTTCAGTTTCACAGCACAATGATACATAAATAATGCATTCTTCAATCAAATTGAATCTTCTATGTTACTTAGGAAAATGCATTCTGTTCTAATCAGGGAAAAATATGTTGTTTAAATGTTTGGTGCAAATGAATGCGTCAATAAAATTCTATTGATGACTTGAGCAAAATTTGTAACTCGCAGCAGAAATGCATTATATGTAAAATACATATGATAAACGAGAGTGAAATAGTTTTAAAGTAAGTAAATTAGTTTTCCTAATTTATGATTTGGCACCTGCTAGGAACTGAAAAACTGCTTACAGTAAGAATTTCCCCAGGTCTAAGATGCAAAAGTATCATATACAGTGAAACCTGTATGTGCTGATGATTACATATTCCTAACAACAAACATATAGCTTGTTGACAGTTTTATCAAAACTGTGGTCACTTTACATAAATAGTTAAATTCAAGAACAGCAGCATTTTACAGCTTTCACTGTATGTACATGGGGAGGTGACAGGAGGGAAAATGTAGTTAATTCATGATTAATTTGTTGTTTGTGCTCCAGATGACTTCTTTTACCTTAGATGTATTATGAAATAGTAAAGAACCTCTTTATGATGTATTTTGAAATATACTAAGTATATAGAAACCCAAATAATTTATGAGAGAAAAGAAGTTAATGTATTTTAGAACTGCAAGTTTTAGCTCCTCTGTGAATATGCTTATCTGATTACAGTTATTAATGACAGCACTTTGATGTTCTTACTAGAAAGTTTCTTGTGATATTGTATAAAAGGGATCAAATGTTATTCACTCACCCTATGTTACTTGTTGGGAAAAAGAATGTATTGGTCAATTTCGCATATGCAGTGCCTTTTGGCGCCTTCCATTGGCTATAATTGTATTTGTTTAGCAATCAATCAATTTCAAGAATAAAAATGTATAAAACCTTAATTTCTTACATAAAAGAAAATGCTCACATTTTTTTTAAATCATTAAATTACAGAACAAATATCTCAGAGTAACTTTCATACCAGTTACTGTAAATATGTATGTCTTATAAAATGTTATTTTATTTATAGCTAGTCATAAAAGTCATGCAGAATCCAACACAACTGATCAGAGAAACAGAATTTGCATATAAAATTAACACATCATTAAAAAAAGTCAACAAAAATTATTAATAAAATGAAATGATTTGATTAAAAGATGTAGCTTTAGGCTGTATATCACAAAGTCTGCATAGAGATAAAAAAGAAACAATTTAAAATATTTTATGTTTGTATTTTATGTTAGTATTCCCTTTTACAGTATAATAATGTTCAGCTATTAAAATGGGAGGGGTGGAAACGAGGTTTCCAGTAATTTCCTATAAAATTTTATGCCAACCATTTTTGGAAGATTTTGGCTTTTTTTTTTTTTTTTTTTTTTTTTTTTTTTTTTGAAGATCAAAATGCATGGTGAATGTTTAAATTCAACAATAGAGTATTGCTATAAGTTCCCCCTTCCCTTTACTGCAAACACACTTGTCTCATCGTTTTTGCCACTTTCTAAAACTATTCTGGAAATCTTCTAGTGAGTACCTTCTAGTTGTGTTATCAGCACTTCCTGAATATTCTGAATCAATACAGATATTTATCTTTCATAGTCATTTTGGCTTTAAAAAGAAGCCAGATATTACATTGTGTAACAGCCAACAATAATGTTAGAAAGATATGTGTTAGCAGATATGTAAGTAATTAGAAATTCAGTGGATTGTGTATTGTGGAGTGCTCCAAGACTGTTCACTCTGACACATAAAAAAAGATTACGAGACATTTTGTCTATACTTAATAGAAATTTTGTTTGGGCAGTGATGACAACTGTGTATGTGTTATGTTGAGGCTCCATGGTAAACACCTAAATTCTGCCTCTGCTTTATAGCATACACCGCTTCCACACCTGGTGTGATGGTAAGGGTGCGAGTAAGTGTGATATCTAGTCACTTGTAATATTGATCCACGATACTGACAGCCAAGCAATACATTCGTGATAGCCTTCACCTACGTGTTGCCACTTATGACAAAGCTTCTAGGAGACATTCTTCAACAGGACAATTTTTCTGGGCCACATACTGCAAAGATGTCACAAGAGTGCCTCTACCACATTTTCCTGGAATGCCAGATCCTCAGATTTGTTACCCACTTATATTCTGGCTTGAGATAACTCAGCAGGGTACTAGAGCCTCCACTATCTGCAGTTTTTCCTTTAATAAATTATCCTTTTGCTTTAATTTTATAATCAGTTACTTATATCAGTGTTGCAGTCATATATATAAATTTTCATTTGATTCTCACTAATCTTTCTAGCTATGCAAATTTTTATGAAATGGGTATAATATATTCAGTTGTAATTTTTTTTAAATGATACATACCATGTAATTTTCGTTTTTCAGTTTTCAAGAGGTAAAAATTATAGAAGAGGGTAATTATTTAAGAGAATGTGATATGTTCTGTAGAAGAGTAAATTTTCATTTAAAAGCAGTATTAGGAGACTTTGTTGTAATATCTAGCATCAAAAGACTCATGGTTTAGAGAAGTAATTTTAACCACAATCGTAAAATTGAACAACCTCCAAGAAATTTTCTCGGATGAGCTTGAGTAGATTTTCAAAGATATAAAATATCTGTATCACTTAATAATCTCAAGAATCAGCACTCAGATTTTTTTAAACACATTTTCAGAAGATTTATATAATGTTGGCCATTAAAATTGCTATACTGGGAAAGAAAGCAAAGGCAGTACCTTATTTAATTATTATTAGTATAATGAAAGGAAGATATGATTAAATTTGCAAGTAGTATTGCATACACAGTGTGTAAAATTCAGTACACACAGCTTGCCATTTCTGGCAGCAACAAATGGCTGTAATCTGCCTGGGCATCAAGTCGACGGGAGCTTGGATGACAGATACGGGTACTAAATTTCATGCAGCTTCAGTTCTACTAATTTTGATTCTGACTATCTTTCTAGAATCAGTAGTCAGAATCAAAAGTCAGAAAAGAGATGCCCATGACAAGATTACCCAATGGCACCATCTTACAAGCATGCCAGGTGATGAGTCTACACAAGTACTTTTTCCTGGTGATGCAATTTCTCTCAAGTTTAAATAGACACTTGATCCAGTATGCTATGGCACATTTTTGATAGTTTATTTATTTATTTATTTACTTATTTTGTGAAAAAACAGCATGCACTCTCATAACTTGCATACACCTATCAAGAATAAATGGTTTGTCAAGTTGAGGATACACCTGGATTATCATAGATATTAAAGTATCCTTCAGTTTGTAAAGTGCATCCTGACATTTCGTTTGACCGCAAGAACTTTTGATTGCTCTCTGACAGTTTGTAAAGTGGTCTTGGGATGGAAGAGAAGCCTTTCATGAATTTATAGTAGGCGCAGAGGCCTCGGATTCTCATGGATATATTCAGGGTGTCTCCAATCTTTAACTGCCAACACTTTTTCATGATCTGTAAATGCACCTTCGGCAGAGCAGGCATGTCCAAACTAAGTCATTTCTTGTCTGAATAATTTACATTTGACATGACTTAACTTTCAATTTGATTTCCTCTATTTCTAAAGCACTTATTTTCTAAATATTCTTCAACACTTTTCTAGGCGATGAGGTCATGCGAGAGCCTTTCAACATCCGTGGCGAGCTCTTGGAGTGTTTCCATGGACTTTTGTTGGTGAAATTTCAACTGGAGTCTGCTATAGTCTTTTAAACATGTCTTGCCAAAGTGTAGCTCCGACGCACCAGATATAATTTTGAAGTCTAGTCTCTGATTTTCAGGCTGACTTGTGAGGATATCTGCTGCGTCTGCTCTCAAAGAAGCAGCAAGATGGCAGGCCTTAGTTTTAGAATCCAATGCATTTGCTATTATATAGAATTTAGTCTTGTACACTTGCGAGGAGGTCTTTCCATCATACGTGGATATCTTGTAAAGAAGGTCAAGAACATATAGGTAGGAATTTAAAGGTCATCAGATTTGTTTCCTGCTGACAACAAACTCTTTCTTAGATTTGTTGTTTGGCAGCAGAAAGTCTTTCTTCAGTTTCTCCAACTTTATTTCAACCATATCTATTCTTCCTTCCACAGCCTTGAATTTGTTTTTTATTATGGCAGTAATTTCTCTTTTTATTTCCTCTTGACTTGCTTCAATACTTTCTTAAACTGACTTTGAGAACCCCTTCTATCTTTTCTTGGACCGTTTTCCCTCTCTCCTTCAATGGAGTCGACAGGCCCATTCTATCTTTTCTTGGAATGCAGCAAAAGCTATTTTAGTTGCTCCTCCATTGTTCTTGTCGTCGTCATTCAGCCCCACTTCTGACACTAAAAACTGTTAAACACATACAGGTTCATAATGAATTAAATGCACACAGTAATCGATCATAGCATCATAAAATATATTTTCCCAAAAGAAACACTTTACAGTTCTGGAACTTTTCACAAAATTACTCACACAGGTCTTCTCAGTATGACAGAGAACAATCAGTAGTTACTACTACAAACTACTAAGATTGTTGAACATGGCACAGTATTAAAAGCTCTGAGTGTGTAAGCTTGCACAGCCATCTGTCTACACTCTGAGCTGTATTCTGAACTGAAAACTGATGTAGTTTTTCTCTGTCAACCAAGAAATTTCCACTATCTTAGATTTCTTGAAATTGCTAGAAGGTGTATACAGCTACAGTTACATATGGCTGGATACAGTTATGCAGGGATTGAGCCAAAATGTCGCTAAGTGTGGCGACCTTTGGCAATTACTCGCCAAATTTGGGACAAAAATTAGTTGCCTAAATCACTGCCAGCTTGGCACTATCTTGCAGATTTGATTTGGCAATACCTCGAAGTTAAATGGTAACCTTATTTTTCCGGCAGAGCTTCACATTTTTTAGCCTTTCATAATTACATTATACAAGAGATACTACAATTTACATATATACCAAATTTGTTACAGTATATTGGCTTCTGTTTAAATACAACAAAAAATATGCATCTTTCCTTTCCTCTATAATATAGAAACTTCAGTATAACTTTTGGAATGTTCTGCTTTGATATAGCTAATTAATAACAGCTATTAGTTCCTGATATATTTTTATTAGAAATTGTAAAATGACTAAGGAACAAAACATTAGAGAACTTCTTATGGTATATTACTTATATAAATGCAGAAAAGTCTAAATTTATAAATTACTTTTATTGTGTCTACATGTACAACATGTTTTCATTCACTACATTATAGAAATATAAATGCGCATTACATTGCAGCAGCTATAGCAGATGCAACTAAAGATGTTCCAAGTACTAAATAACCAGACAAATACAAGTTTTTCAGATCATATCCATAACCCATATCCCATGCCTGAAATAAAAAAAGGTAAATGAAACAAACAACTAGCAGACAAATAAAAATATAAAAATTATCTTGGAATATTATTTTTTAAATTAAATTAGAAGTATTTTGATAAATTCATTCCATTCTATTGGTTAAATTTAATTTTGGAAAAATCTGTTCAAATTTGAAGATCCTTTAATATCAATTTATTAAAACCATAACTATAAGAGCAGAAATGAATAAAGCAACTTAGATGGATTTTTAAGATTTCCTTTTAAACAAGATGAATAATGAATAGCAATACAAGTTTTATTAATTCTTTTACATATGAAATTCTGACATTTCCTTTGTATAAAATTCCAGTTTTTCAAAACCAAATTTTATCAAGCTATTTACAAGTGATCCCTCAAGAATTCAAATCTAGAAAAGGTAATTTAAAGATTAAACCTTGACTTTTTAATAATTTTTTTATAACTAACTAAAGAAAATAACTTTATAACAGAAGCGAAGAGGAGAATTATTTTTCTCTTTATTATTATTTTCTAACTATTGTCTTTAATTTGTTGGCAGAAAATAAAATAAAAATGCTTCTCTGTTGTTAATCTTTTTACCGAGCTCCTAAACATTTTTCAAAATTTTTTAATTGCCAGAATACTAAAGTTGATGAAATCAGTCTTTCTGAAGCTTTCTGCATCATCAAAATCTATTAATTGTAAGTAAATGCTTTTAATTTTAATTCTCACTTTACAAAAATTTTTTAAAAGCTCTAAATTTTATTTAAAATATAAAAAGCTGTTATTCAGTAAGTAAATGACTATTTTGAAGTTGACTTACATAACATATGATGTTATAAATGTCTTTTATGAATTGCACCATTATTAATTCAATCAGTAATTAATGAAAATTAGACATGCAATGCAGCATCAGTATCTCAAACCTTAAATAAGTCGTAATAATACAATTTTTCTTAAGATTTTGTTCAGACTAATTTTTTTAATAATAATTACAGAGAAAAATCTGATTACCTTATCAATAGAAAAAGTATACCCATTAAATAAGGGGTCTCCAAAAAGGTCAATATTGACCCTCTAGGTGGTCAATGAAATTTGAAAGGGGGTCAATGATAATAAAAGAGTTGACATCTGAATGCACCGGCGACTGATCATGATAATCAAAATTCCATTAATTACACAAAAGTAAAAAAAAAAAAAAAAAATACTAGGGGTGAGGGAACTGAAAGCTTTCAGATTTTATATTATGCTCAAAAGAGTGTTTTTTAACGTTTTGTGTGTTACCTTTATTTATTAAATATCATGATCGTCACACTTGCAATACATAAAATTCAATTCAACAGCAATATGAAAAATAATTAAAAACAGCATACCTTAAGAAATTCCGATAGACAGTCCCATGCACCGTAGATAAAAATGTTTTTTTCCATTCATTGTTGCCATTGCTCGCTTTGAAATGGTTGAGTTTGTTAATCAAAAATTCGTTAAAGTTTTACAAAATTTGAAATAGATAATGAAACAAATTCAAAATTTGGGCTTCCAAGTGCCCACGCTCGGTTAGAGGGCTACATTATTCAAAATTTCACGGCTCTTGGTACCGTAATTTTTCACAATGCGAGAAACATACATGCAGATTCTTCAAATATAATTCATGGCGATAATATTTTGTGGCAACAGTTTGAAAAGTGAATCGATACAAAATGCCGTTTTGAAATTAATAGCCCTTCTGGGCTAATAAATTAATAATTAATCGTTTACTGATATAAAGCTATATCGTGAAATAAGGAAGAAATACACACAAATTATTAAATAATTTTTTTAATCAATATGTTTCTTTTAAAATGCATTACAAGTGTGACTATCCAGCACCCAACTTACCGGAATATTTTAGAATTTTAAAAGAAAAAATTCTCACGAAATTAAATAATTGAGGGATTTATAATAACTTTATACAGCACATTACAATACAGATAAGAATGATGTCACAGCATAAACATAATAATTCGCCTTGGCTTAATGTAACATCAACAATTCTCCATAAGCTAGTTTAATTTTTGTACAGAAGGGTATAAATTGTTTTTTCATCACATTAAAAAAAAAGATTAATATATGGGGCCTGCCTTTTATGGTATAACATGCAATAGGATACTTTCCACATTACATAATCCTGGCATCAAGAAAGGCACAATATGTAACTTTGTTTGAAATGGATAACAATAGTGATGCAACGTGAAAAACTGCGATAAATGATTTAAGTTTTTATGCATTATATCTATAATTTGTATCTATGTAAAGAATGATCTATTTCATTAAACTTCTGCCAGAATAATTGGCACACATTTGGAATATCTTCAGTGGGATTTCTTGAAATGCATTACCCTATTCTAAAATCTTATACAAGTTTAAATGTAGGCTTTTGATATTCAATAAGATGACTGTTTTTATAATTTTAGATGGGAAATTTCTTCCATTCATTTGGTTTTTTGACCGTGAATTCCAACTTTAATACGCTCAACTATCTGAAACTATCAGTGCATTCTTTATTGTGTTTTGATAGTTTATACTTACAAACCACACCAGATTTTACTGATACAGCAAAGGAGAAAAATTCTGTGATGGCGGCTTTGTCAAAAGTTATGCAAAAAAAAAAAAAAAAAATGCAGTGGTTGTTTTTACTGTGCCTTGAACAGACAAAGTACATTTCTCATTCCATGGAGACGATACACTTACCGTGATAGATAAACAATTGTTCATCCATATGCAGTTTCAATCACTTCATTCAATGTAATCATTATTTCATGTGTGTGCCTATGGCTTGGCTGGGAGATGCACTCAGTGACCTTATACTAGCATGTGCAAAATGGTTTACTGAGGACTCGCTTATATTAAATTTGCAATGCAAAAAGTTCTACTCTATGGAGACTTAAGACGCCAAGGCCTTTTCTGCAGATTTAATATCAGTTGGTTATGGAGATATTTTATAAGTTATTTTCTTTCTACATGCCTTTACGGTGCAACGGTAGCACACTCAGTGATTTGAGGAGTCCAGGTTCAAGTCCCAGGGACATTGCTCATTCTTTAAGTAATTTGCTTCAAAAATAACCTAATGACTCTTAACAGTAGTGCCTGAATTAAAAAATGGTGATTCTTCACTACCAGGATTTGGCGACTGGTTTCCCTAATCCCCAGTCTCTCTTTAAAAGGAGGAGTATAAAAGGTATTTTCTCCCTCCTTTCTGCATGCCTTTGTGGTGAAAGGGTAGCACACTTGGGGCATATTCGAGAGGTCCAGGTTTGAGTCCCGGCGAGGGCATTGCTCATTTTTCCTGTTTCCTACCTTAAAAATAACCTTATGACTCTACAGCTTAAAAATTCAAAGTTCATCAACCAGGTTCATTTACATTAATGGAGCTTAAAATTCTGCTTTTCATTCTGACAATATTTTTGTACAAAATACACTTCATTGCGTTTAATTTTTCATATGTGTTTTAAGTTTTCAGACTTATTCAGTATACAGCCGATATAATGCATGCATAATATAACAAGATTCATTGCATGTCCCATTTAAAATGGAATTTGCCCATCAGCGGTTGAGCAGATAAGATCATTGAATACTGGTAGCTTGCTGGTTTCTAACCTCAGAAAACAGACTTGATGCATGGGCATTTCTATAAATTTTCTCATATATAATGTCAATACAAGCCAGTTTCTTTTAGCAAGTCATGCTTGAATGCTTTTTTTGGGGGAGGGCCTTAGACAAAAAAACTCTAATATTCTTTGCAAAAAATGTGTCATCATTTAATAAATTAATTTAAAATACTTATCAATCACAGTTTTAAAGTTTGTAACAATGGTATTAATCATTCCTGTGAAATGTGTTAATGCAGGCTGATAAAAAAGAAAAATTATTAGTAATATATGATAAGTTCTGTGTGAATTAGGTGCTGCATGCATCAGTAGCATTAATTTTTCTTCCATGCAATTGCTATTTGTAATATATGCACGCTGCCCAAATTTTAAGATTCAGTTTAAAATTTTTCATCACTTTATGAAGATCATAAATTTAAATATATCAAAGAGAAAAAAGTGCACAATTGATAAGCTTAAAAAAGAATTAAGAACTTCTCAGTGGATAAGTTACGTTAAGATAACACAAAAACGGCATATGAACATTGTAACATCCTTTCTAGCAATGCTTAAGAAGTTACAAATGACATCAGTCCAAGTGCTCAGTCAAAAAAGATGTATATACATCAGAGCTAAATACCATATTGTTGGGTGCATATGGGTTTCGTAATAGATTGAAAGCACACAGATCTGATGATTAGTTAATAAAATTTGTTTTATCAAAAGAAACACTTCAGAGTTCAGGTATTTTTCCATAGAAATATTTGTATAGGTGTTCACAGTATCACACAGTACAAGCAGTAGTTATACTTCAATCTACTAAGAATATTACACACAATGCGATGTAAAGCACATTGAAGGAACATTACAAATGCAATGTAGAGTGCATTTAAAGAGTGAAGATATCTCAGTACTTCGAACTCATGCTGATCCAAAAGCTAACAATAACAACCGAAGGCAAATGCTCTCTGCAGCCTTATACAGTACAAAGTCCGAAATTCGGACTGATCGGGACTTCGGCGATTCCGGATTTGGGATTTTTCCGGATAATAGATCATCCCTTTAAATCTAGTAAGATGGCATGTATCAGTTTAAATGTAGTAAGATGGCATTTTATAGTGTACATTATAAAATTTAAAATATGAAATAATGAAGTATTTATGATCTAAAGGGTATCAAAATATACAAAAAAAAAAAAGGGCTTAATATTTATTTGCTTACCTTATTAAAGATTTATTTCAATGTAAGTTGTTTTAAGTTACTTCATTTTTTTGTGCTAATACTTTCTCTTTAATTCTGTAGACAGTGATAATCTTTAGTTACATTGCTGAAGTCCTGTAACAGCTGTTTCGAGGATTCCAACTAACTTGTCAATAGAAATTTTCTCATTTTCAGTAACTTCTCTGTCAACTTCATCACTATCGGTAGAGATATTTTCTGGATCTAGAACCATACTACAGATTTCTCCATTCATTAATTGATTGATGATTGAGAAGCATTGTCATCACAATGAAAAACTTCTTTTATATCATCTTCATTTATTACTGCTTCTCCACATTTCTTCACAAAATCCGTAAACTGTAAAATTTCACCTTTGTTTTGTGATATTAAAAAAACCTTTAAATTTAGCGGCTCTCATCATCAAATTTAGCTATCCTTCACTATACGTATTTGGCTAACATTACGAACTTGGCGACTAGCGACAAGTTCTTCCGTTAAATTTTATCTTGCTTTAATGTATCGCGCACTGAAACAACTAAGCCTGAATTGTATTAGTTTAGTTATTTATTATACTTATGTCTATTTCTTGCACATGCTTAAGGCTTGAGTTCTGAATAAATTAATTCCCACATATACTTAAGCTTTATTGAGGGCCGGTGCTAGATATCTTACCGCCTGATGCAGTCTCTGTGGGTCTTAAATTCTGCGACTCAGCACAACCATACGAGACCTGGCACTGGTTCTGGGTTTATGCGAATAACAAATCAATTATTCTTAATTCAGATAGCCCTAGATGTAATCTTTGGTTCTATGAGTATCATCAACAAAATCTATTTTTAGCATATGGAAAGGATTTTGGGTAAATTTTTCCTCGTCAACATTTTTTAGTGCATTTAACTGAAATCTGTAATCATCGCCAAGCATACTGTCAACATTAAAGGTACCATACTCCTTTATTATTCAAATGCTAACATAAAAAAATTGTTTAGGCATCGCTACATGAGTCATTATTCAAGTTGACATGTTTTGATAAACATGCGGTAATGAAATAAAACGTATAATAAATAATGATTCACCAGGTTGGCGTCAGATCAACAATGTATCTATGTGGAATGTTTCGGTTTGAGGATGTGTGCCAAGCAAATACGCAGCAACGAAGTCAAATTACTGATCGTACAAATTTATGCTAAAATGACTGTTTCTTCAGTAACAAGGTATTTTATTTAGTGTCGAAGTAAAATTAAGAATCGGGACTCTCCAGATGTTTTATTATGCACGGAGGGGGAAATCAAATGCGCAAATGCAAAGCCTATGAGAAAAATTTTGTTGGTGGCTTTGAGGTCCGGATTTTAGATCATTCCGGATAATGGAAGTCTCGATTTCGGACCTTGTACTGTACAGTTTTTCACCTGACCGCAAAGATATTTCTAGTACTTTCTGCTTCTCAAAATTAATGGAAAGTATATGAGGTCCGAATTACATTACAGCTACATATGAAATCAAGTACAGTTATCAAATAACAATGGCTATTACGGTGATACAGGGAACGGATCCAAATGTTGCAAAATGGCCACAATGTTAGGGAACTACCAACGATTTCTCACCAAATTTGGCGACAAACATCAGTCCCCAAAACAGCTGCCAGCTTGGCGGTATCTCGCCAAATTAACGAGATAGCCATTTACTCAAAGTTATAAGTTGCTTGTTACTCAATGACTTGCCCTTATATTTTTATTTTTCTGGCAAAGCATACTCCCTCTAGATTTTCATATTACATTATACAGACAGATACAACAGTTTCAGATATAATTGCACTAAAATCATCTATATGTTACAAAACTTGTAACAATATATTGTTGTATACTGTGGAGGGAAATATTCAGCATTATATTAAATTAGAAATTTTAGTTTTTCACTTATTACATTCATGCATCCAAGCTTATACCATTAGCCAAGATGGGACTAAACAAACAGCAGTAAGTTACAGTAGCAACATGGGTGTTTGCATTTGCAGTCACTGTTTCTGTTTACTGCAACTGATAATTCAAGTAATAATTGTATACTACGATAAGGACTGGAAACCTTTGAAATGGTAAATAGTTTCAGATAATACAATAAGTCTGGTTGTTTATTTTTGTGCATTGTTCTTCTGTCTAATCTGAAGACTTGATTTTCAAATGATACTACGTGTATTCTTTTAGCCATAAGATTCTCATAATACAGTAACATGCAACCATATTTCTGACAAATGCTATATATAGCCAAAGTTACAAGGATACTGAGAAAATGCAGTTGAATTCATAACATAATCATCAAGGATTTAAACGTTCTGTAATTTTGTATCATTATTAATAACACATTTTTGTTTCAAGTAAAAATTTCTCAATGTAAAAATGTTTTTTCATAGGTGAATTAATAATTTTTCTATCCTAAAATTATAAAAATCACTTCAGGCTGTTAAAATTAAATCTAATACTTTTTTTTTTCAATTTCATATACAGTAAATTGAGAACCACAAACATAATAAATATATTTCAACACAAATTAATCTAAAGTTATCAATATTAAACTGAATTAAAAAGTAATGTTATATAAATATAGTAAATATAGAATTGCAGTGTATGAGAACTCTTAAGCTTACATGTAATGCAAATCAGTGGCACATATTTTTTATACCCTTTTTAGTTAAAAAATCATTATCATTAATTTTTCAAGACTTACCAAATGCCTCACTCCATTAGCTGTATGGTAGAATACGGTCCATGCTAGAGCAAACTTTAAAGAAAATATCAAAGCAGAAGAAATGTGCAAAGACTGGAGATAATCTATATAATAAGGAAAACGTGATGGAAGTACCAACATTCCTATTGACAGGCCATACAAACCTATAATATATTTTTGAATTATTATTAAATTTTAAACAACGAATTAATTAAAAAATTATACATAACAAGTTACTATATTTTCAGTATATTCTTCACAAACTGTAACATTTTTAAACTTTAAAATAATAATAAAAAAAAAAAATACTCTGAAAATTGTTGAATGAAGATGTTACAGCAGATCTTCAACTAATATTACTTTTGGTCTAAAAATAAATTATGTAAATTTGATTTTAAATGCTTCATCTCTGTGTTCATTTATTTAAACCAAAATAACTAAAAATGTTCCTCTTTTTCATTTCAACTGTGAATACAGCTTATAATAAAAAAGTGAATACATAAAAATGAAAGGAGAATCATTTCAATTTTTCAAATAAAGATAATTTCAAAAATGATTTGATGATATATTTACATTATATAATTTTTCTAAATTCTGTTCATTATGAAGCTATGACATTAAATGTTCCTTATAAAAATAATATTATGAATGTAATATAAATATAATTTTTAATGATGGGAAAGCAATAAATGGTTAAGATTTAGTAGATTTATAACAAACAGACATCACTTAGTAAATAGTTAATGCATGCCATTACTTTTTAAAACACTGAAGTTATAGTTAGAAGAAAAAAAGTGGTGCTAAGGAAAACTTATTGTTTTCCATTGAAAACTATTGTTTTCTCATTCTGACGGTCACAGAGAAAACAAATCTGATGTGGAAACTACATGACTTCCTTGCATGGAATATTAAATTATACGCATTTTTTGCTGCATTTTATTTAAACTTATTTCCTCAAATTTCAATAGATATATTTCTAATTCAACTAAATCAGTTCTCACTTCGTGGCAAGGCAAAAATACATAAAACCTCAAAATATCTTTATTAAAAACTGAAGGATATAGAAAAAGCTAAAACATCAAATACAGTGAAACCAATTTAAAAAAAAAAATTTACAGTTAAAATTAGTTTTTATGGAAAACAAGCAATTCAGCCAGTGGGCAAGAAGGCAGATTTTTCGATGCGCAAAACTGAAAGTTTACTTTTGGTCCCACTCAGCAAAAAGACACTAATGGTGCAGATACTGAATTTACTATTCTACTAAGTTTCAAATGTAAACAAATATGGCTGCTATGGTAAAACATTAGGCTTAGCCACACTTAAACAACTTTTAAATTGATTTAGAAGTCCAACAACAAAAATCAGCGTGATATTTGCAAATTTTCACAGGACTGGTTTCGATGGTTTACTGAACCATCATTATTATCGCGATTACAATACTTTTTTTACTTCTTACCAGGAAGTAAAAATAGCTGCCACTACGACTTCCTATTTTTTCAGAATACAGGATTATATTTATTTTTTGGCCATATTGTAGTATTACAATATCACTTCTTGTACTACTAATCTCACTAACTACTATATAAAAAGATTTAGTATTTATTTTACTATCCCTGACATAATTTGTAATTATTTAACATGAATCATTTTCAACAAATTCTTTATGCCTTTAATATTCATTTCTACTTTGATTAAACTGCCACCCAGACAGAAAGTGGTTACTGACTCTGATTGCCCTACCGAAGGACCTGGTCTGAATCCTGGAGAAGGCATGTAAATTGTCTGTCCCCTCATAATAGACAATGGTGGCCCACCTGTAAGATGCCTCCATAACAAAGTGACCTCCACTTCATGCCTAAGCAGTGGCCAATGCCTCTAATGGCTAGTGCCCGCCATACTCAATGATGATAAATATGATAATAATGCAGTGTAACTGCACTTGTGGTTTATTATTACAACTTATCAAATATTTTTAAATTAATAAACATCTTTACAGCAAGAGATAGCATAAATGAACAAGAAATTCTGATAACAGTACCAGATACAATTATACCTTCTCATTAAAAATTCAGTAAGCTAAATAATAACAAAATAAATAAAACTATTCTTTTAATTTGCCACACCTGCATTATAAATTAGAACCTTTAGATGTAGCATATGTATTTTTAATGAATATTTTTAGCATTTTTTAATAATTACTAAAAATATCCATTAAAAACAATGAATACAGAATATCTTAGGGGAGAAAATTCAATTTTCAAAATATAACATTAAATATGGTTTAATCATTTGCATTTGGTACACATTGTTCTACATGCATTCAGCATCAAAATATGTCATAAAGGCCTATGCTTGTAATTACTGATGCAAATGTTAATGATACTGTATCAAGTTATTGTTCTCTTCCATACTCAATGGAAGTGCTGCTTCAGCTATAAGATAATGAAATTCTTATATCTGGCACTTCTCGAGCAAATTTTTCCAATTACCCACAACATCCAAACAATTATACATAAAATTACAGCACTCCCATATTATCACAACTACCTGAGCACAATTTGGTGGTTTTTTTTTTTTTTTTTTTTTTTATAAAAAGGAGGGATGACTTACAGTTGCCTAAACATATTACATATATATTTTGCATATAGGTAGGTGTTTGTCTAGCAAATCAACTAATAAATTCTATGAGTGGGATTTTTTTTTCTTTAATTCTAGTGGAAATTTCATGGTGATCACTATACAAATAGATTCAAAACAATAACCATATTTTCCTTTATGTAACACATTTCCATTACGCACTTTAATTTGGCAACCTCAAAATTAATATATATATATATGGTTGATGGACTGGTTTTTAATAGCCTACTATAGGGAGAGTAATAAAAACCAGTCCTGGACTACTACTAAATTAATAGGAAAAAAATATTACATAATGTTAGTGCTGGCAATCGCCGTCGATTTCCCTAGCGCATGCGTGTGATAAGCAAGTTCTCTGCTGCATAATACTTATATTTAGTTAATATGTAGTTAGAAAAAGTCAATGGTGAGTATTGCATAAGAGAGAGAGGAAGTGCAAGTGCTGTGTAATATTATGTTTCTACTCTGCTGTTCATGTCTTCATAGTTAAAATAAATGTTGGGTATGTAGACGTCATTTTATTCTTCATAGGTTATGGCCCAGATAGCGCTTAACTGTGCAGTGCAACTACCATTGTTAAATTCTTTCGGCAAGCCAATTTGCGTCGACTGAAATGAAAATGGCGACGACTAATACGTGTCAATTGAAAAGCTAAACAAGGACAACTTTGATACGTGGAAGTTGCAATGGAAGCAATACTGATTAAAAATGATATTGGAACTATGTAACTGGGAAAATTCCGAAACCAGAACCTGGTGATGAAGAATTTGCTAAATGGAAAAATACTGACCAAAAGCCCGCACGGAATAATCCTATCCATCTTCCCCGTGACTTCCAAAGTAAGAAATGTGTGACATCTCACGAACTGTGGCGTAAATTGCATTCTATTTAAATCGAAGGGACCAGCTCGAAAGGCCACAATTCTAAAAAATTGCTTTTACAAAAATGAGTGATTCTAAAAAAATGACTGTTCATCTAAATGATTTTTTTCATCTTGTGGACAAACTTAAAGAAATGGAAATAACATTGTGGATGATTGCTTCAGTATTGCTTTTATATGCATACCGGACTCTATGAAAGCTTTCGAATAGCTATCGAATCTCGTGATGAACTGCTTCTCCAGAAATGCTGAAAATTAAACTATTGGAAGAAGCTAACGCTCGCAAAATAAAGATTCATCGTTTCTGAACCACACATGCGTTCTATTCAAAGATAGGGAGTAGACTCGGCAACCGTTCTAAACTGAAACCAGATAAGCCTGCAAACTGAAGACGTATCCAGTAACTTACAGATGCAACTTCTGCCTATGGGCATAGAGCATCGGAATGTAGGAAGAAAAATAAAGAAAGTAAAGCAAACGCCTCAGTGAACTGCGATGTCTGCAGATTCGGAAGCCGTAGCATGCACTAATAGTAATTCTAAAGACATTTTTGTCTGGATAGTGGTGCAACATCGCATATGTGTAACAGCAAGGAACTGTTTCAGGAAAGTCACGAGGTAGGTGTAATTATGTTAAATTAGCTGCTGATAAACTGTTTAAAGCTATTGGAAAAGGAACTGTTCAATTTAAAAAGTTCGCATAGGTTCTAAAAACTAAAAATATCAAAATCAAAATGTCTTGTGTGTACCTGATTTGAAAAATAGTTTAATCTCAGTGTCTAAAGTAACTGAAAATAATCTTTCAGTAATTTTCAAAGAAAAATGTGCTCAATAATTAATTCTAATAATGAAACAGTAATTTTATTCAATCAGATAAAAATATGGACCATGAAAGAAAATCGTAATTTTTAAATAAAATTTTAATAATTAAAAACATAATATTCAATTATATTTTTTTTACAAATATTTTATAGTTACCAATAGTTAATAATAAATATGCTTTTGTATATTTATAGACAAGATATGAATGCATACAATAAAATATATTTTTGAATTATTGGTCTGCTTTCATAATTAAATTACAATTCTCATTTCATTCTGTTTGTCTTGCTTTGTCTCAATAAAAATGTGGTCACTTTACCCTAATTCCAATTCATGTACCCTTAGCTAAACGTGAAAATGATCTTTATTTTGTCATGCCAATATTTGAATCTGTATCAATTGCTAAAGAAATAGATCAGTGGCATATAAGATTTGGCCATTTAAATGAAAATGATCTTAAAAACTTCATATAAATAACATGGTTAGAGGTCTTTCTTTTTCTCAAATGACTCTCTTTCTCTTGTAAGGTGCATGCATTCAGGGTAAACAAAACCGCAACCCCTCTTCCCAAAAAGAATCTGAAAATAGAAGTACTGAATTGTTGAATCTAATTTATTCTGATTTGTGTGGTCCCATGAGAACTGAATCAATAGGTGGATCATTTTATTTCGCAACATTTATTGATGATAAAATCTCGATATGTTGTGTTATTTTCTGAATCTAAGGATGAGGTTAAAGAGGCTTTCAGAAATTTAAGCATCTTTGAAAATAACTTAACTCTAAACTATCAGAATCCTGCGAAGCGATAACGGGCTACAATATTTAG